AACGGTGGGGACCAGGTTTGCTGGTCCAATAGAGCCTGGTGGAACCACTGAGACTGTGGCCCCTAGCTGCCCTTCAGGTCTGGAATTGAACCCACAGCTGTGGTTTCCAGCCCAACAAAATACAGGCATGTGAGTTAAGCATTTACCTCAAGTGGATACACGCCTTGGAGAGAACAATCATGGGAGAAAGAAGGGCTGCTTATGCACAGGGAGACAGGTCAGGGGGCAGAAGAGTATGGAGGGATGGACACTGGGAAGAGGTAACTATGGGGGAGGAAGTTGGAGGAGAGCTGTTGCATTGTGGTAAACTGTGGTCATTGATATGAGACAAAGTATATGTGAACTGCTGTATGAAAAGTGAATTTGCTGTGTAAATCTTCACCCAAATCACAATAAATAAAAAAAAAAAAAATTAAAGGCAAGAAATGTTAAAGTGGTGAATAAAGTAGATAGTTTTAAATGAATGTTGACTATATAAAAATAATACCTTGTAGTAGTTTAAAATATATAGTATTAAAATATATGATAACAGAGGCATCAAAGCCTAGAGTACGGTAAGTGGAGGTAGATTGTTACACAGAGTTTGTAAAAGTATTGGTATCGTGTGTTAAGTAAAGGTGTTGATATGATAATAAACTTTGTTAAATTAAGGATGCATTCTATAATTTCTAGTTAACAGTAAAAGAATGGAAATAGGCTATAAACTCTAAAGTAATAAAAGGAAAAAATAAATTCAGTGAAAATAATCAATAAACACAAAGGTAGGAAAGAATAAGCAAGTCATATAGAAAGCACAAAATAAAATGGTCGATTTAAATCTAAATATATCTATAATTACATTAGATTAAAAAAAAGACTAAAGTTAAAAGATGAAGATTGTGAGATTGGAAAAAAAAATCCTATTATAGACTGTTCACAAGATTCATATCTAAAGCATAAGACTATAAAAAATTTGAATGTATTGCATACACACACACACACACACACATACATATAAAAAGCAAATAGTAATGAAAAGAAAGCTTTTATAGTTTTTTTTTTTTAAATAAAATAAAAGATGAACTTTAAGGTAAAAAGCATTGCTGGAGTAAAGAGAGTCATCAATTCATAATGATATATGTTTCATTTCACCAAGAGGATATATATGCTTAGTCTGTGTCTCAGCAATTATATTTTTAGGTATATATTTTAGAGAAACACCTTAAGGACACATGTGCAGCAGTATTCAAAGAAAGTTGTTTCAGTAACTAAAAGCTAAAAATGATTTAAATGTCCACAAACAGGAGATTGAATTAATACATTTTTGCACAGTTATGTAATGGAGAGCATTACAAAATACAGCAGAGAAAAGGATTGCATTATACCTATGCACAGCAACTTAGATGAATTGTGCAGAAGTAATATTTGGCAAAACTTGAAAGAGCGTATACATATGATTCTTGTTTTAGATCATATTTTAAAAACCTAAACCATATTGTTTAGGGATGCATACAGATAAAAGTATAGAAAAATAAGGAAATTATTATCATAAAAGTTTGAGTAGGAACCAGGGGATTTAATGAGGGAGGGCAATATGCCAGGCCCCTTCTGAAGTAGTGTATTTCTTGGTAGTGTATTTCTTGGGGAAACAGCATGGATATTTTTTTTTATATACATTAATATTTTATGGCATCAGATCACTCTTTTCTGTATTGTTTATTTTCTAATTATGTTGTTTGATTTACTTTAAAAATATTTTTAGTATTTATTTGGTGGTATGAGGAATTATGATTCTATTTCATTATTTTACTCTTCTATTTTGCAAAAATCTTAATAACTAAATATTTGAAAATTATGAAATATTCTTTACTGGTTACTTCGTGCTGCTCTAACATAAATTACCACAAATGGGTAAATTTTAACAAACAGGAGTTTATTCTCTTATGGTTTTGGAGGCTAAAAGTCCAGTTCAAAGTGTCGGGCTATAGGGGCTGGGCGAAAGCCCTTTTCCTTGGGCTTCTCTTCTGACTCTTGCTTCTGGCCCACTAAGTCAGAGGCATCTCTTCACTCAGGCAGGTGCTGGCTGCTTAGGCTGACAAATCCAAGGTCAACCAGTGAAAAGCCACAGTCTCGATATAACCAAACCACATGGCAGGCCATTGATTCAAGTCCATTAAGAGTCCCAAGATCAGCAGAGCTGCTGAATGAAGACTTGGGTGCATGCAGGGTCCAATCATGACAAAAAGCTGTAGAACATTCCCAAGGCTTCTCCTTATATGTGGGAAGCAGATCTCATCCCTAAAGCAGCTACTTTAATCTGCTTGCAGCAGATTCCACCATGGAATTAATTGCCAGTCTCATCATGGGTAATAACTACCACCAGCTGCTCAGCCACTCAATACCAGGCCCAGCCAAGTTGACATATTACCTTAACTACCACATGTGCTTACTGAAAAAATAACAGTTTCCATCAGTGAACAAATTAGAAGGTTAAGTATTAAATATGTGACCTTTGGCAGTAACAGTGATCTCTCTTTCTTTTTTGTAGTTTTTAATTGTGATTTGGGTGAAATCCAAATTCATTTTCCATACAACGGTTCATACAAATTTTGTCTCTTGATATTGAATGCAATCCGTATAACATAGACCTCTCTTGACTTAAATTCACTCAGGTGAACTTTGAGGAATTTAAGGAATGTTTTGTGGCTATGTTGTCATCAAACATCAGTGATGACTCCTCTGATGAAGAAGGCAGTTCCTTGGAACCAGGTAACCATATTTCCTGTTGACTTTAGATTCTTTTAAAAATATATTTGTTATTTTTTGGAGTATAATTCAAATTGAAGAATGTAGCAGTTACGAAAATTAAATTGTAAAGCCCACTTTCTATCACTACAAAGCCATATGGTCATGAATTGTTTTCTTCTTTTGTTTCTTTATTTGTAAAATATTATCAAATAATAATAGGGGTTATACCTACATCATAGGATTATTGAAGAGATAAAATGAGCAGATGTATGTGGAGGAGTTGAAGATTTTAAAAATTAAAAGTGCAATGCAGATATAAAGTGTTCTTATGATAGACCTCTGGAGTTGATAAAGCAGATAAGATTGCCACCAGCCCATGAACAATAAGTATGTTTTGTCTCAGACAATGATGTTGTACTGTGATGTTGTATGACTTAGAATGTTGTCCTAGTAATGTAGCTGGTGGGATAAAGATAACCCTTATAAGTAGAAGTGGTATTCTCAAGGGAAGAAATGCCTAGAGGGGTATGGAAAGCCACTGGTCTCTGATTCAGGCCTGCAGGTGGGGGGAGAGTAACAGCAGTCTTAGTGGAAGAGTTTTGAAAGGAGGATCAACTTCAAGGTGTGTCAGGTCAGAGATATATGAATTGTGTGGATGAGAGTTGGAAGATGATGCCTGAAATACTTGTTGGTTGTGACTGCTTCTTTGGGCTCAGCTGGCAAGGTAGCAGTCACCTGACATACTTACTATTCTCAAACTGGGCTACCTTTGCTGAGAATGTATGAAATGTCTGTGGGTTTGTATGCTTGTGAATGGGGGCAGATGTGTGTGAGCATAGAAGAGGTGGTATTGATTAGCAGGTTGCAGAGGCAGGAGCAGCTCTTTCCCTTCTTCCTCACTACCTGCCACTGCTGTGGAAGCACCACAGTTGAAAGGAGATACTGACTTTGGAATGGTAGTATTGGGAAGGGCCTGGAACAGAGGAAAGCAAAAAGAAGATAACTCACAGTGTCTTCTGTGTGCCATACATTGAACTTTACATACATCTTATATGTATTCCATATAAACGTCATAGAAATCCTGAGACATTGTTATACATGCTAATCAAAAAAATGAAACTGAATTTTTCCCAAGATTCCACAACTATTCAATAGTGGCTAGAATTTGGGTCCAGGTTTGCCAACTTTCAGCCTTGGGCTCTTGTATAGGCTCTGTTGCTTGAACCCTGACCTACCAGTAGAAGCTTTTATTGGCTCTTCCTACGTCCTCTTGTTGGTAGCAAAAATACCTGGGTAAAGTTTAAAAATGCTGTGGAGTGATACAAGAAGATGTGACCAGTTATGCATGGCCCTGGGTGAGGCATTAATTGCTTCCCCTCATGCTTTTCTTTCTTAAGATGCAAAGACACTTGCATTTTCTAACTTACAAGATTTTGATATATGATTGCATGACCAATGTGTTAGACTGGTTTCTCTAGAGAAACAAAACCAGTAAAGCTTATATTTAGAGAGATAGGGAAATTTATCTTAGGAAAATGGCTCACACACTTATAGAAGGTGGCAAGTCCAAAGTTCTTGGATCAAACGTCAAGCTGGAGGCTTTTCCCGAATCACGCAATTGCATGGGTTGAGGAACTCAAGGTTGGCAGGCAGTATACTGGCTGTTGACACCAATGAATGACAAATCCAAGACCTCCAGGCCAAATGGTGCATTGTTTGCTCACGGACAGTTGTGGGCAGTACAGCAGAATCCCAATCCATAGAAGAGTGTCTCTTTTCCCAGGATATCCATAAATATGGCCCCACCCCTAGGGAAACTCCCTTTCAGTGGATTGGCTGTTCAAAACATAGACATCTGATCCCGTCATTGGAACAACTCACATCACAATTGCTTAAACCACACAGAATTGTGGTCCAGCCAAGTTGACACACAGCTCCAACTAAGACAGTCCACCCCTTGTGGACATGGCAATTCTACACATCTTCTTAACCATATATAATCTCTAAATAAGGACAATTATAAAGTCATATTTGTGCCTAACATGATGTGCTAACACACGTACGACCGAAATGCATTAACCTTATTTACATTTCACAGTTAATGACAGAAGGAAACAAAAATATTTGATGCACATATACAATGAAGAAATATAACAATCACAGTCCTCCTTTCTGCAACTGGTCATGTGGTCGTAGCTGATATTCAGAACTACCTTATTCCACCACCCATTCTGTATTTCCCTTGCCCTCCACAAGCACCTCAGCTGGTCGTGGTTTTTTGCCTGGTGGGGTGACCCGAACCTTCACTTGCTGAAGTGTCTGGGCCATTAGCAGTCATATTGGAATTGAGTTGCTGTAATTTTCCATTGACTTTAATCACAGGGCATGGTAGTACTAAGAGACGTCCTAAAGAATCTCCTGTATTTCAGACATATTCTTCTTTACCTGCATTATGTAATGTCAATCCAATTTCCCCTTGGTATTAGGATCTATCACACCAGATAGTACAGTAATGTCCTTCTTTGTCTGTTGATCCAGAGGCATGAGGAAGCCAAAATGGCCAGGTAGCATTCTTAATTTCCAGTTCAATGCAATCAGTATTGTGTCTCCAGGTGGGAGTGTTCCTCCCTTTGGGACTAACCTCTCCAGACTCACAGAGCATAGGGTAGCAGTGACACGAAGCAAAATTTTTTGAGTGGGTCACTAGGGGTAATAGTGAGGGGTACTACTCCCATTTCCACCCCTTGCTTCCTGGACCCATGAATCCTGGCTATTGGAGAAACAAAACCGTATATTGGATGCTGGTTTAAAGCATATAAAGCCTCCTGGAGAACATTACCCCAACCCTTCAAGGTATTGCCACCTAGCTGGTGCCGTAATTGTGTTTTTAGGAGACCATTCCATCATTCTATCAAGCCAGCTGCTTCAGGATGATGGGGAACATGGTAAGACCAGTGAATTCCATGAGCATAGACCCATTGCCATACTTCATTTGCTATGAAGTGAGTCCCTTGATCTGAAGCAGTGCTGTGTGGGATACCATGACAGTGAATAAGACATTCTGTAAGTCCATGGATGGTAGTTTTGGCAGAAGAATTGCATGCAGGGAAGGCGAATCCATATCCAGAATAACTATTTATTCCAGTAAGAACAAAACACTGTCCTTTCTGTGTTGGAAGTGGTCCAATGTAATCAACCTGTGACCAGGTTGCTGGCTGATCACCCCAAGGAATGGTTCCATATCGCGGACTCAGTGTTGGTCTGTGCTGATGGAAGGAAGATTGGGCACTCAGCAGTGGCGGTAGCCAAATCAGCCTTGGTGAGTGGGCATCCATGTTGCTGAGCCCATGCATAACCTCCATCCTTGCCACCATGGCCGCTTTGTTCATGAGCCCATTGAGCAAAGACAGGAGTAGCTGGGGAAAAAGGATGGCTGGTTTCCATTGAACGTGTCATCTTATCCAACTGATGGTTAAAGTCCTCCTCTGCTGAGGTCACCTTTTGGTGGTGCTTGAACAGTTTCTCTCAGAAAGATCAGCACAAGGCCAGTGCCCATGAGACGGATGTTAAAGATGTCCCAAGTGTCCAAACTACCGTACTACTCCATTATTTCAGACATTAACTCCTCCTCCTCCTCCCAGTAATTTCCCCAGTCTTAGGGTTCTGTATTTTGCTGAACCGCCTCACAGAACTCACAGACACCTAAGGGTTCATCTCACGTAGTAGTGGTGGAGGCTGGCAGGCTGGCAAGTCCCAGGTCCGTGAGTAGGTCTGGAGGATCCTTCCACCTCTTGGGGTTTGATGAATCTTGATCAGCAGATCAGATGACAGCTGCTGTCCCAAATCCAGGGGTGAGATGAGGATGATCCGAGACACAAAACCAGAGCAAGAGGAGGGCAAATCTTCACAGGAGATTTGTAGGTATATCCTCAAGGAAGCTAAGGGTGGTGATTTGAATTATACCCTCCAGCAAGGCAGGACTCAAGATACATTCCACCTGTGTTGCCCCAACAGAAATAACCTAAATCCCATCACAGAGTCGATTGCCAGTCATTATAGGGAATGACTACTACCAGCTGCCCAGCCAAGTTCATACCTGGCCTTAACTACCACACCACCCCAAACATGCATGGATAATGGGATTTATAAAACATCACAGAATAGAGGACAATGGCTAGAAGGGCCACATCAAGCAATTCACTGCAGGTGGGCATTCACATGAGACACAAATATCTTTGCTCCTTTGGCCCATTCAGAGAGATCTATCCACATACCTCTTCCACATAAATCCTTGTCACCAATTTTCCAATCATGCTTCTTCCAAGTCCCAGACCATCCAGCCAAGCCAATAGCCACAGCCCATGAATCCGTATATAATCGCACATCTGGACATTTCTTATTCCATGCAAAGTGAACAGCCATATGCACAGCTCAAAGTTCTGCCCTTTGGGAGGATATCCTTTCACCACTGTCTTCAAGGAAGTTCTGGAAAGGGGCTGCAGTGCTGCTGCTGTGCACTTTTGATTGTTGCCTGTGTATTGCATAGAACCATCTGTAAACCAGACACGAGTTTTCTCTTCCTCAGTCAACTGATCATAAAGAACTGCCTATGAGGCCATAGGTACAGACTGGGAGACGGAAGGTAATGTGACTGGATTGGAGACCATAGGCATTTGGGCCATTTCCTCATGCAACTTTCTTGTACCTTCAGGTCTTGCTCAAGCCTGATCTCTGATATACCACTTCCATTTAATGGTGGAGTGCTGCTGTGCACATCCAATTTTATGACTCTGTGGGTCAGACAACACCCAGTTCATGATGGGAGCTCTGGCCTCATGGTGAGTAGGTGGTCCATGGTTAGGTGTTCAGTCTCTACCAAAGCCTAATAACAAGCTAAAAGTTGTTTCTCAAAAGGATAATAGTTATGTGCAGAGGTTAGCAGGGCTTTGCTCCAAAATCCCAAGGGTCTGCATTGCAGTTCACCAATAGGGACGTGCCAAGACTCCAAACAGCATCTCTAT